TGAGCTTGCTAAGGGAGGTGGCGAGTTCACGGCTCGAGGCTGACGGAGATCCCTGGCTTGAAGCTGGCCGGTCTCGGCGATGGACAGGGGAGAAGTCTGTGGAGGTCGGCCGAGAGGAGCTGGTGGGATCTCCCTGCGGACACTGGATGAGGCCGCCAGTCAGAGGTTGACGGATGAAGCCGGTGGATGGTGGACATTAGCCTCCTGAAACCATCTTGGGAAAGCTGTGTGGATATCGGTGGATGGACGCCCCGGCGTGCGTGTGAATGGCTGGTGGAGACAAGGTGTGTGTGTGTCGGGGGGATGGTGGATTGTGTTTGTGTGTGTGAATGTGTGTATGAATGGGCCGGCTGGCCTTCCATGGGGATGGACGAGCTCACCCCTTATCTGTTTTTTTTTTCTTTCTCTTGCAGGGCCCGAAGCTTCCTCTTCCCAAGGGGGATGCAAGGGACCAGAAGGCAGGCATCCTGCTGGAGCTGAACCAGGCCCTTGTCTCCACTGAGGATATCTACCAGTTGAGCCTCTTTTCCAAATGCAATAAAAGAATTTTCCCGGAATAGTTTTGAAGTGTTGTCTTTTACTTTACTTTATTTAGATTTATATCATTATATCTGGGGCCCAATGCCTGGGGGGGGCCTTTGTGAAGTCATGGTGTGGGGTCTTGTGATGTCATAGGAATTGGGAACATATTTCTCCATGTATGTGTGAGGGAGTGAGCTAGGCATTGTGGGTTTCCTGTCTGAGCTCCTAAGTAAGTATATTATGTGTCGTGTTGGACAGACACAGGAAGCCAGTGAGCCCTGGTGCCATTCGGAGAGGGTTGGAGTTGGGTACCCAAACACTATGGCCTTCAGAGAGGGTTGGAGTTGTGTACCCAAAGCACCCTGTAACAATAAAGGAGACTCTTTCCTTTCCTTCCACCACTGCTCCTGACATTTGTCTGCCTGGCCTGGAGATTCAGGGAAGCATAGCCACTTCCTGGCACTGCAGCTCCTTCTCTGAGACCTGGCAAGCCTCATCTTCATCATCAACACCACGAGGACTCCATGGAAAGCTCCTTGCAGAGTACATAAGTGGGGAGAAGATATGCCACTTTGAAGAAGCGTCCAGTCCACCCTCTCGTGCCAGTGTCACAACCGAGGAAATGGAGATGGGAAATGATTAGGAGATGAGCATACATAAAAATACATGTGGATCCATGCCATGGAGAGATGGCAAAATAATACAATCATACTTTAAATTCTGCTGCTTGAGGGCAGTGGCTGCCTCTGAGCACCTCGTGGTTCAGGTGTCTATGAATGCAAGCCTCAATTTCTTTCGGTTCCGAAATAACACTGAATATGCTTATACTGTATTATTAATATTATATTGGGAATCTTTGGGAATTTAAAACTCATTAAGAACATAAGAACGTATAAAAACAGCCCTGCTGGATCAGGCCAAGGGCCCGTCTAGTCCAGCTCCCTGTATCTCACAGTGGCCCCACCAGATGCCTCTGGGAGCACACAGAAGAGGAGGCAAAATGCAAACAAGGCAGTCACTGGAATTATGGACGGAAGACCCCCGAGGCCCTTGGCGTCCCTGGAGATAGGGAAAGGTGGTGCTCGCACAAAGAAACAATCAGCTGATTTTTCATTTTTAATGTTCCAAACAAACAATTTTTATGAATGTAAAGTGTCCCTGATAGGCAGGAATCTTTTTTAGCACTAAATACATCCGTGGTATGATGTTGAGAGTGTGCTTAAGCTTAATCTGGACTAGGTGACAGAAAGATGATTTTTGGACTACAACTCCCAGAACCCCTTCAGACAACAAGAACATAGGAAGCAGCCTAACTGCTCAAACCAGGATTTCACTCCATCCCAAGCCGGCTCTTCATTGCCTGCAGGATCTCCATCTGAATGGCACTCCCACCACACACAATGAGGACAACGGAATCCAGTTGCTGGCCGAGATGTCTTTCTTCCTGGAGCTGCTGGAGGTAACCTGAGTAGAGGAAGGCCAAGGGGGCGCCACACGCTGCCTCCACCAATATCCGCTCATCATCTGGGGAAAACAAGGACAAGAATCAAAGAGAGGTGGCACAAGACACCAAGAGGAAAACACCAATTTCATCTGGTGATGGAAAGGTAGGTAGCATGGGTTTAGAGAGGGAGACCATTAAATAATACCAATGAAACCCTGAGGAAATACAGTAGATCTCAATTGACAAGAGAGTATCTGCAGAATGTTTTCACTTACCCACTCTCTGAAAATATTTTTAAAAAAAAAATATTAGAAACCATCTAGAAACACATATTTTCACAATGTGTTTACCAGAGCTGGCCACTAGAGGGAACTAGAGATCATGCTTTGTATTTCTTGTTGTTGAAAAATGCGTGGTCTCTGGCTCCCTCTATTGGCCAGTTCTGGTAATGTGAAAATACTTTTTTCTGGACTTTTTCTTTTACCAAGCTATGTATAGCATTCGCTACTATCCGTGGTTTTCAGCATCTGCGGGGAAGCTTGGAACCAATCCCGAAAGAATACAGGAGTCTTACTCTATTGTACTAGAAATACCAGTGATCTTTGTCTCTGTACAAATATTATGCACAAATATTATGATGTTGTAAATAACCAGGACTTGTTGAATCCCAATATAACAAAGGTCTTTGAGAAGCTCTACTCATCTGTTAGGTCTCAGAGACTGAGAAAGTAGCTTTTTGTTTTGTTCTGTTCTGTTGTTTTTGGACTCCAAAATCTAGATCCTTCTTGAACCATCTAGATTGAATATTCTAGGGACTAAAGTTTTAAAAAGTGTAAAAAGCAGAAGTACTTTCTACCGGTTGCAAGAAATGTTCCAGAATCAATACTATAGTAATCTCTTCATTACACCAATCATCTGCTCATATTACAAAAAACAAAAATCAGGACAGCTCTCTGTGTTGTTATTGGTGTTGTTTAAAGTGAATTTCTAAGGCCTGGTAAATTGCATTCCCCAAACATGTCAGGGTCAGTTATGTTTGCTTTTTTATTATTTTTTATTTACAGAAGTCAGTCCTCTGATTGAAGGTGCCTTGCCTGCCCAGTCCAAAGCAGATTGAAAGATAAAGAACCGTTAGAAAGGAGAACAGAAAGGCTTTGAAAATTATGGACCAGCCTTTAGTCCCTGGACAACAGATGGGGCAGGCATGCTGCTGCCCTGGGCATAGTTTTTCCCTCTAACACAGCAGTTCCCAAACTTTTCAGCATCAGGACCTCATTTAGACTTTTGAAAAACCCTTCATGCTCCCCAGCTGCAACCTCCTTTTACCATCTTCAACCCCCTTTTAACAAAAAAGAAAAGAAAAAAGCCAATTCCTAATTTAAAACAAACTCAAAAACTTAGTAAAAGCTAGTTTGAGGGAGCGATTACAATAACAACACTTACTTTTGAATCGGGTTTTGCATAAATAAATTAAAATAAATTTGAAAAATCCCAACTACACAACATACAGTGAAATTGCTCTCTTGTTTTGGCCACAAAGCATTTTTTTTAGAAGATCTCAGTGGGGACTTTTTACATTTAATATGCTAGTGAAACTGATTCTTTATGAATCACTTCAGGCAATGTGAATATCTCTCTCATATTAAATACTGTCTTTGTGGGTGGCTGTGGATTTCAGATGACAGAGACACGGCCATCGATCCACCTAATTTTTTTTAACTTTAGCACTGCATCACTTCAGCAATGTTTACATTTTTTTACCTTATTACTATCAATGCTGCGCTATGTCACTTAAAACGTATTGTTTGAAAAAAGAGAGAAATGCATGCATTCCAACGGATGCCTGAAAACCGAACAGGAACTGCACAATATTGGAAACAACTGAAAAAAAAAGAGGGTTGCAATCCTTGGTGATGCGCCAGGATCAGCAACAATGGAAACTGCACAGTCTTGCAAACATGCTAGTTAATGAAACGATTTAAGATCTCGCATGTAATTTCCTAGAGTGGTTTTAAGCCCCTACTTTATACTGGAGTAATAATTTCAAAGTGAGCGCGCACAACAATACGAAAACCATGTGACCAAAAATCAATTTAAAACACATCAGAGCTGAAACCAATACAAATCAGCAGTGTAACCACACCCTTAATTAAAAATGAGCCTTCCCCCCCTCCTCACAAAAAGTTAATGAAAAGTGGACAGGTTAAACAGTGTTAACTTCATTAAAGACAAAACAAGTAAAACACTGTTTAGGGGGAGCTAAGCAGTAAAGCCCCACAGACTGCTTCCCCATCTCCTAGGCAAGGTGCAAGCTTAGTAAAATTCAAATCTATAAATGCCTCTATTCTTACCCTAGCTAAGTTTGCTAACTGCCTTGGCTTGGCTAAGCCTTGCCGTCCTCCTTCCTTATCATATGGACTCCCCTTCCTCGAGAATCCATATCTCTTGAGGCTACACAGCTCCCCATCTCCCGGAAGACCAACTAACTCCCCCCCCCGTTGTTTCCTGGATTCCTGGGATTTCCTGGCCAGAAGCCACTTCAAGGGGGGCTTTTGCAGCAGGCAATGAAATGAGCTGCCTCTGACGGTCCAGGTGACTGGATCTACACTGCCAGACATCCAGGCCAGCGGAGGGCTGCCCTGACTTCCTTGCACCGAATGAGGTTTTCCACATGTCCCTCTTCAAAGGGCACTTAGAAATGCATATTCACCCTTTGACTGGAAAGTTACTCTAAAAAGGGTGAATTTGGTGCCATCTTTTGCTGCTTCACTTTGTGTCTCTGGCATCCTGACCATGAGATTTCCCCCATCTCCTTTGTGAATCGATGGCTCATTGTTAAGGATTGCTTAAGATCTTAATAATAATATTTTTTTCTGTATGAAAAACCTCTCTCAGTCTTGCCCCTTGAACATCCTCCTTCCTTATCATATGGACTCCACTTCCTTGAGAATCCATATCTCTTGAGGCTACACGGCTCCCCATCTCCTGGAAGACCGACTAACCCCCCCCCCCTTTGTTGTTTCCTGGCTTTTCAGCCTTTGGTGGATTCCTGGGATTTCCTGGCCAGAAGCCACTTCAAGGGGGGCTTTTGCAGCAGGCAATGAAATGAGCTGCCTCTGACGGTCCAGGTGACTGGATCTACACTGCCAGACATCCAGGCCAGCGGAGGGCTGCCCTGACTTCCTTGCACCGAATGAGGTTTTCCACATGTCCCTCTTCAAAGGGCACTTAGAAATGCATATTCACCCTTTGACTGGAAAGTTACTCTAAAAAGGGTGAATTTGGTAACATCTTTTGCTGCTTCACTTTGTGTCTCTGGCATCCTGACCACGAGGTTTCCCCCATCTCCTTTGTGAATCGATGGCTCATTGTTAAGGATTGCTTAAGATCTTAATAATAATATTTTTTTCTGTATGAAAAACCTCTCTCAGTCTTGCCCCTTGAATAATAATAATAATAATTTATTGTCATTGTAAGTATATACACATACAACGAAATTCACAAGTTCTGTGTCTTTTCCCAGTGCTGGGAACCAATGCACTATGAGGTTTGTCTTTCTCTTGAAACAAAGACAGCTATTTCTCAATGTACGTACATGCAGATATATCTATCAGCAGATATATAGGTTATGCAAATCAATTTTCTTCCTACCAGTGTTTTTTTTTAAAAAAAGAGGAAGGGGTGATATGCAAGTAGCAGTGATGAGAATATATATACAGTGGTGCCTTGCACGACGATTGCTTCGCATGATGACGAATTCGCTTTACTATGAGGTTTTTGGAGCGATCTTGCGCTTCGTTTAATTAAGTTTCCTGTGGGCGATTTTCGCTTTACGATGTTAGGGACCTTGCCTTGCAAGACGGTTAAATTTTAGGTCCCTGTTTTTCGCTTTATGATGTTTTTGACAGCTTGGTCTTGCTTCGCTATACGAGTTTTTTAATGGTCTCTGTTTCGTTAGATGGCTGTCTTCACTTGGGAACCGTGTTTCGCTTAACGATGTTTCCTATGGCAATTTTCACTTTACGGTGACAATCCGTTCCCATTAGAACGGATTATCAGGTTTTCAATGCATTTCAATGGGAAAACGTATTTCGCAAGACGATGTTTTCACTTAACAGCGATTTTCGCAGAACGAATTAACATCGTCTTGCAAGGCACCACTGTATTTTTTAGAGTACATCTTCCAGAATACACCAGTCAGCCTGGCTGCTGGCCTTGTTGGTTGTGTGATATGGTGAGCAGTACTCTTTAAAAAACTCTCTTTTCCCGCCCATAGCCAGTGGCCCTCATAGCTGAGAAGTCCTGCTCTGCATTTTTGAGGCGTCTCTCCATTTCTTTCTTTCTTCGTGGTGCCATCATGTCAGGAGAAACTTTGGGGCAAGACATCTGGGGCTTTGCAACAAACCCACAGTGTTCAGAGGTCTAAGCTGCACCAAGTAGCAAAGACTGCCATCCCTTATTCTACCGCACATGAGTGGAGCCAAGGCCATTTCTATGCATTCAATTATCTAGACAAGGGGTCCGATTCATCTCCTGTTTCTGAACGTGGCGGCTGTGGAGGCGGACAAAACAAGACCGCCTATCAGCCACTAGGGGGAGCACTCTGCCTAATTTTGTTGGTCCGTCATGTGCTCTCAAGTTGCTTCAGCATCACATCAACGCTAACAGGGTTTTCAAGGTGTGCAGGATACTAAGCAGTGGTTTTATCACTGTGTGATACCCAGAGTCGTCTGGTGGTCAGAGTGATGGAGTAGGACTCAGGAGGCCTGAGTTTGATTCCCCGTCTCTGCCATAGAAACTTTGCAGGGCAGGGATTGAGGAGGAAGTGGTCAAACCACTCCTTAAATATCATACTGATCTTGAAGCCCTAATATGCTCACTGTAAGTCAGTTCCAAAACTTGATGGCACATAACAATAAAATTATTACTGTGACTCAATAGTGAGCTCCCTCAGCAACACAGAGATTTGAACCCAGGTCTCTTGATTCCCCGTCAGTCACTCCGTCCACTACACCACACAGTCTCCATCCAACATGTATTTATAACTGTAGACAAAGACCTACAGAAAGTCAGCTGCTTTCATAGCGGCTCCCTGACAGTCAGACTCTGGCCGGGAATGCAAATATTAGCCCTGTTCGATTTCTCTTGCCTTCTTTTTTTTTCTTTTGAGGAACAAAAACAAAATAAACCTCCAACTTCTTTCCTGAATATGAAGACATAGTTTTTTGGTAAATTCTTTCAAAGAGGAACTGAAGATTCTCTACCCTTCTGCTCGTAGAGCTGTTCCCCCAAAAGGAGAGGCCTATGTTGCTTTCGACTGCCACACTGATGTGAGTGGAAGCTTTTTAGCAAATTGAAGAAAATAGTTGGTACTAATTGTGCTCATTCAGTACCCACAGCCTCAGAGATGGAAAACAAGGACTCAAGACCACGAATATGGGTTTTCAATTTCTCTTGCATTTCATTTTTTTAGGTGCTTAAGGTTCTGCCAACCCAGGGATGAAGAATTGTGCGAATTTTAGTACATTCTTTACAAAAGTGAACTGCCACAAATTCTTCCTGGACAACTATCAGCCAGTCTCAAATATTCCATTTCTGGGCAAGGTACTGTAGTGTGTAGTGGCTCCTCAGCTGCAAGGCCTTTTGGATGAAGCTTTAGTCCCGGCAATGGGAAGAAGACTGCTTTGGTGGCCTTGGTGGATGACCAACACCTGGAACAGGACAGGGAGAATACTGTATGTCCTTATCGGTTCTGCTGGACCTCTCAGGAGCTTTCAAC